ACCTGACTGCTGCAACTGGTTTTCAACACTGGATTTAGCTGTGGCCTAAACCACAGCTCCAAACCCCTGCCACTGAGTGGATTCCAACTCACAGTGACTCTGGGTGACATCTGAGCCAGCCTCACCTGTCTCCCACAGAGTGGCTGGTGGGTTTGAGCCACCAGCCTGGCAGTTAGCTGCCCCATGCTTGCCGGGCAGCGCCATCGGGGTTCTTTAGTCTGGGAGAGCTTGCTTCCAGAGTTCTCTGAAACATAGAAAGCGTGTCCCCTGGCTGGTCTCTGAAGAGAGGCAGCCAGGAGGCATCTTGTCCAGTGGAAGGCAGCTGGAACGCCGACACTGAGGCAGGAGCTGCGTCCTAGTTGAATTTATTTCTCCTCACCAAGCTTTCCTTTCCAGATAGGTAGCTAGTGAATCTGGCCAAATATGCACTTCAGGCTTGGTCCCCTCAGCGAAGAACGCCAACACGGGCGCTTCTCTACCTTGTGGGAGCCTTCACTCGTCCTTTTGCTGAGTCCCCCAGAATGCACTGTGGGCTAGCAGGCTCTTCCCTACACTTGCCCGCACCTGTGATTGCAGAAAGCAAGTGGGCCTTTTGTAGTGTCTTGGTACGCCAGGTAGGTTCTAGAAGGCCTCGGGGCACTTCACTTCCTTCCCTGAGAACTGTACTGTCAGCATTCAGAACGCTGGCATCTCACTGGCGTCCACCTTTGTTTAGGGAAGGAGAACCACGAAGCCGCCCCAGCGCGACCAGGGCTCCCCCGTTCCCCGCTCATCACGGGCTGGACTGGCAGGGAAAAGCTGCTGGACTGACAGGGAAAGGCTGGCGGGGCAGAAACGCGCCCCTGGCCGGTTCGCGGTTCTGAATTGGCCGCTTCTCTTCCTGTAGGATCGCGCCCTCCGATGGCGCCTGCCTCTGTTTGCCAGACCCGGTCTCCTGCCTGCAGTGTGTGCTGTTGGTTTCATCTTGCCTCCACCCCCTTGTCCGCTCCCTCAGGTGGATCGCATGTCCTTCCCGTGCGGCTGCTCCCGGGACGGCTGCGGGAACATGGCGGGGCGCATCGAATTCAATCCCATCCGCGTGCGGACTCATTACCTCCACACCATCATGAAGCTGGAGCTGGAGAGCAAGCGCCAGGTGAGCCGCCCACCGGCGGCGCCCGAGGAGGAGCCCTCCCCTGCTGCCGGCTGCAGCCTGGCCGGCGCCCAGGGCGCCGAGACCCAGGACTTCCAGGAGTTCCTGGCCGAGAACGAGACGGCCGTGATGCACCTGCAGAGCGCGGAGGAGCTGGAGCGGCTCCAGGCCGAGGAAGACTGCAGTGGCCCCAGCGCCAGCCTGGACTCGAGCATCGAGAGCCTGGGCGTGTGCATCCTGGAGGAGCCCCTGGCTGTCCCCGAGGGGCTGTGCCCGGGCCTCGCTGCTGCCCCCCTTCTCTTCCAGGCCCAGCTGCCCCCAGGCTCCTCTGTCCTGTGCTTCGCAGAGAACTCCTCGGATCACCCAGCTGCCTCAGCGGGCAATAGCCCGCCCTACTTGAACGGCGGGCCCCTGGTCTATTACCAGGTGGAGCAGAGGCCAGTTTTGGGGGTGAAGGGGGAGCCTGGTCCCGAGGAGGCCGCGCCCCCCTTCCCCAAGGAGAAGGATCTGAGCGTCTTCTCGCTCCCTGTTACCTCATTGGTGGCTTGCAGCCCCACAGACCCAGCTGCCCTCTGTAAATCGGAGGGGGCCAAAAGAGCCGCTCTGGAAGCGCTGTTGCCTGAAGATTGTCGCCCCGAGGAGCCCGAGAATGACGAATGCCACCGCTCCTGGGCCCCCTCAAGCCCACCCTTGAGTGCGGACAGTCCGGATGGCTGTGCCCCGGAGAAGCCCACCCCGCAGAGCGAGGACCGGCCCCCCGAAGACTCTGCACTAGAACTCCCTCTGACTGTGTGACTGGGGCTGGAGGCTGCCTCTCACCCATGCTCTATTTATTCCCTTATTTTATCTAATGCCATTTCAAACAGAACTGCAGAAGTCGCTGCTGCGCCCAGCTCTTTCATTGGGGCCTGGGGTGGGGGAGGAGGGAAGGGGGAGGATAGTTTGTACGAGTTTTTTTTTTTAAGGAGATCAAGGATGTGATCTTGGGCTGGGCTGAGGCAGCCGCCCCATGCCAAATGCTGGGCCGCAAACCGAAGGCCTGTGGAGGATGTGGGGAGCTGAAGCAATCAGTGTCTTTAGAGACCAGAACCCGGGGTGCACACAGCCGGCACAGCCCCTCCCTCCTGAGCTCCCCGCAGGAACAGACTCAACTGCTTTCCCGTGTGGGCACGCGCCCCTCACCATTGGAAATGCCACCCGCACGGATCGAGAGGGGGTGTGGAAGGATGTCTGCTTCTGTGTGAAGCCTCTGGGACTTAGAAAAATTGTACACACACACACACACACACACCACACCACCCCCTTTTGGGAAAATAAGCCCGTTTGCCGGGTTGGGGTTTCTCTGACCTGCTCCCCACCCAGGATTCCTGGGCTGAGACTTGAGTTGTTTCTGGCCCGGGTTCTTTGGTTCTACACCGGTCGGTTTCCCCATCCATCAGTCTGCCTCTGGAGAAAGGGGCCAGATGAGCTGTGCATTGGGGGCGAAGGCCCCTGGTCATCTGTGTGCCACAGGCTGCGGGGGGAGAGGGGACGTGCCCCGGGCAGCTTAGCTGGGTGCTCTGTCCAGTGGCGGCAGCAAGCACAGGTCACTGTCACGTGTGCCTGCTCGGCCAGGGCAGCTCTTTGGCGTGGAGAATGTGGCGCTCCGGGTCTGCAGCTGGGCCTGCGTTTTTTCTGTACCTCAGTCCTCAAGTTCCAAATGACAGAATCTGAACATAGCCTTTGAAGTCTAATAGAATGGTGGGATTCCCGTTATCTCTGAGAGTAGGGGGGTTGGGGTGGGGTGTGGTAGGGTGAGGGGCATTGGGTGGTACCCATTCCATCCCACTTGTACTCCAGGGCCTCCCCCGGGAAATACCACGCAGTTCTTGTTTATGAGCACAGTTGTCCCTGCCTCCAGATGGAGGCGGTAGGGAGTGAAAACTGTCTCCTGTCACCCTTCACCCCGTGCTGCAGTTCTGGTTAACCAAGGATAAGAGCAGAAGGCATTACGGGGTGGGGCAACGCCTTTTCCCACTTCTCACCCGGAAAACCTTTTGTAGGCTATGAAACCCCCAGTTTCACAACATTGCAACATTTCACCGTTAAACTCCCTTAGCCAAAAGGCCTCGTTCAGTCGTGATCAGAGCCATCTGTTAATGCCTGCTTTGTTTCGTTCATGTTTGGGAGTTCTTCAAAGTTGTGTTGGTTCTTTTCTCCCCATCGCCTGGCTTCAAAAAAAGGCGAATATCTGTACCTGAGAACTAGAACGCTGCCCCCACTTAGCGGGCTCCCCACCCACCCACGACTGAAGCTTAACGGCATGGAGTGAGTGCGTTGTAGGACAGAATCCTCTGGCGGTCAGTTGGGAGTGAAACGTCTGCCCTACTTCTTTCCGCCTCTGGAAGGCTCCCCCACCCAGGAAGGCAAGTTCAGCCGGAGGGAGGGACACATTAGCCTTTGGGATCAGCTTCAATCCTGGAATTTGAGACTGTAATTAACTCATTCCCAACCCTTAAGGTTCTCCGTGATTTTTTATTTTCTGGGGCGGGGGAAGGGGATCTTAATACAAGCCCACCTTTTCATTAACCAATTCTGCAGCACAACGGATCTTAAAGCTTTTTGATGCTGACTGGTGGCATGAATGATCTTGTGGAGGAAAGGGCCTTCCCCACAGCCTAGTCCACCTCACTTCTGGTGCTACCCGAGGTGGGCAGCTCATGGTGGCTGGGAAACGAGGCCTCTTGGGCACAGAGGCCCATTCTGTCAAGGCCAGGGCAAAAGAGGCGGCGACTCGTCATTGTCCCACTTTTCCCAGATACTGTACACAGGTAGTATTTTCAATGTGAATCCAAAGCTTGTCTGGTTTCTCTGAGTTTTTGTTTTGCCATTAGGTCCTCTTAACATTGTGATAATGCTGTATTTAAAGAGATATTTAAGTGTAATATTAAAGAGCTATTCAAAAGGGTGGTGTGTTGCTCTCATCTTGACAGGCCGATTCAGTGTGTTAGGAAAGGATGCTCACACTCCCTCATATATACAGAAGTCAGGCCAAGTAGGGATTAATGTTGACAATGAAGCCTCTTGGGAGCAGAGACCCTTCAGCCACAACAGGCCTCCCCATGCCCTAGGGGCCCTCCCATGCCCCTCTTCCCAATTCTTCATTCCGAATATGTGCCAGTCATCTCATCAGGATGCCCACCCTTGGAAACTGCTAGCCCATCAAAAGGTTCTGGCTCAGCTGGTGGCTCCCCCACACGAATTAGGTGCCATCAGTCTGGTAAAGGGAGGATTAGCGTGCATAGGAATTTCCAGCATCTAGTTTCAGTCAGTCTTTTACTTGGGTTTAAAAACGGTGCTTCATGCATTTACAATAAGTTACTGGTGTACACACAGATGCTAACCCTAACTTACTATCTATCCCGATGCAGGCCTCTCCGGCCTCCCCGGGTGGGCAGTGGTGAGTACCTCCTGGGTCTGATCCTGGGCTCGAAGGCAGCCACTGCCACTTAATGTTGGCTCGGATCACTGCAACACAGTGGAGGCAGCAGAGTTTAAGATCTACTCGGGCTGTGTTAGAATAAGACTTGGGTGGCGACTGTAAACACTGGAGAGGGGTCCAGTAGCACTTGGGTGTCCTTTGATCTTTTCCTTTAAAATGTTACCAAAAGTTCTTGTTTTTTGACACTAGGTCCACTTTAAAGGTCAAAGAACGTGGAAAGGAAAGGGTTTGGTTAGTGTGGGCCAGGGAGGGCCCACATCCTACTTTTGGCTGTCGGGTGAGAACATGTTCTTGGGACACACGTGGGCATGTGAGTGTGCCAATTTACATAGTGCTGTGCCTGTAGCCAGACAGCATCTTCACCCTGTCCCCCCACTCCACCCCACCCCCCAACAAAACCCAACCCACATGGGCCAAGAATGTGCAGTAGGTGGGGCGGGGCCTAGGTTAAAGGAGAATTCCACCTGGGGCCCTGCTCGCTGGCCAGGACCTGGCCTGTACACATCACATTAAAGCCCACTGCGCAGGCTGACGCCGGAGCTCCATTGCATTGAGGGAGTTGGGCAGACCCCCACAGGGACCACCCCTGGAGAGCTCTAGTGGCAAGGGATTGTTGAGCTCAAGTCCGGCGCCTGCTCAGCCTGCTACACACCTCCTGGCGTACAGACTGCTGCCGGGTGCTGTTTGGTCCCACGTCGCCACGTGCTGTGACTGCAGGGCAGTGCCGGCCACTCCACGGTGCACTCAGTGCCTCGTCCCAGTGTAGTTGGTGGAGAACAGGACCACGTTGTGCAGCAAGAGGGACAGCTCAGCTTCTGGAAACACCAATATTAGGGGTTTGGCTAGGGAATCGTCCTGCCTTCTAGGTGCCTGGGAACACAGGGCCCATTCCTGCAGGCAGGGCGCAGGTGTGAGGAGGGGGTGCTTCTGCCTGGCTCCAGCCTCTGGGTGCCTCTCTCGGCCTTTCCTTCTACGGCCCGGGAAGGTCCCGGGGCTTCAAAAAGCCCATGGAAAACCAGAAATAAAAGATAATGGACTTAGGATTAAAATTAATCACACAGTTTTAAACAGATCATGGATTTTGCCCACAAACCCTCTGAAGCCCTGCGGCATCTTCAGACAAGCCTGCTCGCTCTCTCCTTCCCGCTTCTCCCGTGCATGCAGAGGATTCAGAGACGGCAACGGTGCTAAAGAGCATTGCTACCTGGGCGCACTTGTGCTCTGGGTACATTTCTCAGCTCCCAGGAGATTGGCCAGCCTCTCTCTCCGGATACCCAAAGGCCTGGAGAACACTGGCTCCCAGCCACGGGAGGCAAAAAGACCCAGAGGCCTCACACCCGGGCTCCCAGGCGGCTCCTGGCTTTTGCTGGTTTTGTATTTGCACCGCTTTCAATGACTGGGTGGTTCTCAACAGTGCCACTCCCCTCCCACCCCCATGCCATACGGCAATGTCGGTGCTGCCACCTGGGGGCTGAGGTCAAGGACTGGGTTATAGAGCTGACAGTGCAGGACCAGAGCCCAGAGTGCTCAGGGTGATTAAAATTAATTGCTAGGCCAGTGTGCCCTGGCTCCCACGTCCCCACAGGCACGTGGCTCTGCACTGGCTCTGCTCCGTGGGCTCAGTAAGGGCCTCACAAGTACTCAACAGCCAACCACCCTCACCACCATCACCACCCTCACCCCCAGCCAGCCAGCCAGCAGAAAGTGGCTGTGGTTGGGTTTAGGAGGCAAACATAGCCTTAGGGATCTGTCTTACCTTTCAAGCTGCAGGAAATCTGTAGCCATTCTCCCAGCCAAGCTCGACACCTTTCGTCAGCAACACGGCTAGAATTCAGGCCTCGGAGGTAACAAGCCTACATCACCCCAGAGAGAAAAGTGCCCCAACAGTCACAGGCGGGTACAGCAGGGAGTGAAAGCCCACCAAGCAACCCATCTCCTCTCAGTGAGTGGGTGAGTGGTGGCGGCGGCGACACCGGGCGCCGGTGAGTGGATTCCGGCATGTTGCAGCCCTGTGCTAACCCTACAGAACAGATGCCCTCTGCCCCCTCTGGTGTCACAGGCTGAACGCTTTACGGTGCCGCTCACCAGGTCTTGTCTCACAGGTGGCTGATAGGTTCAGATCACTGGCCGTTTGGTTAGCTGCCAAGCACTTAGCCGCTGTGCCACTAACCCCAAAAATGAAAATCCGACTCATAGCCACCCTATAAGACAGGATAGAACTGCCCCTGAGTTTCCAAGACTGGGGCTCTTTACCGGAGGAGAAGGCCTCCTGTCTCCCGAGGAGCGGCTGGTGGTTTAGAACTGCTGACCTGGGGGTTGACAGCCCAACACTTAACCAGTGCACCGCCAGGGCTCCTTCTAAAGCAGTTACACGAAGTAGCTAAGTTACGGGCACACCTGCTCGCACTGCGATCGGTGGGGCAGGTGTCCCTCCTGCGCTTCACGGGATTCTAGAGGCCCTGCTAGTGATGGATGTGATGGCCAGGGCGGGGATGGGGGTGTGTGGGGTGGGGTGGGGTGGGGGTCGTGGGAGGGTCTGTATCATCTCAAACGAGACAGGCCCAGAGTGGACTGTCTTTGATTTGTAAAATGAAACACACGTGAGAATCACTGTGGCCAAACCCTTCCTTAGTTAAGGTGGCCGGGAAAAGGCGACTCAAGAGCTTGAGCTAACAAACAAGACCAAGTGCCCGACCCCCCGTACAAGCCAAAACCACCGTGGGTGGAGAGCTGGTGAAGCAGCCAAGTGCTTACTGATTTCACTTCTTGGTCACTCAATCTGCCGACCCCCAGCTTGGCTAAAGCCTGGTCCAGTTGATGAATCACGGTGGTGTGAGTCTTCAAACGGTGTCTTAACAGGAAGGCTGGCAAGTAGGGTGTAAGAAGAACGGCCCGGCTCAGGGCTTTCTGTAATACAAGACACACACACACACAGAGGAGAGTCAGTCATTATACTGTCTCCCCTCCCTCTCTTCCTCCCCCCACCCCCCCAAAAAAAAGATGGGATGAAGGTGAGGCAGTGTCAAGGCCTCAGGTGCTCACCAACTGCAAGGCCTGGAGATGGTTCATGCCGAGGGGCTGGCTAGAGAAACACTTTCTCAGAGCCAGGATGTCGTTTACCGCTGGGTGGGTACCCAGCTCTATCTGGGGAGGGGAGAGATTGGGGGGTGTTAGGAAGGGCCTGTGGACTAGCCCTCTTTCCCAGTTCGGTGCCACTGGATCTGAGAAGAGTCCTGCTCTGTTGCAGGGGTCCGTTGGGGAATACCTTGCTGCACAGCTCGGTCAGATGCCACCGGAGTGTGGTGTCAGAAACAGCAGGGATGCTCCTTTCTAAGTAAGTCAGGATCTCTGGGTGGGACCGCTTCTGGAGAGCATGATACATCTCTAAGAAGTCAGCTTGTTGCTTCGGGGTCCAAAAGTGCCGGACCAGGAGCTGCCTAGGGAAAAAGTACCTGCGGGGGGGAAAATGAGCCGCCTAGTCACCTGCTGACACAGGCCGCTCTCAAGGAGAGCCCGCGGGAGTGTTCGGCAGACAGCCTGCTAGCTCCCAGTGATGGCGGCACGCTTTCCCTACCTGGAGGAGTCTCAGACCCCGATATAAAGATACTCCGAAAAACAATGTGTAGCAGCGGAAGAATGACCTGGCGTGCTGCCATCACAGCAGATGACATGTGAGGGGCACGCCTGGGACCAAGGTGAGCGGAGCTGCGGGAGGAGCCAGACGCCACGTGCGACGCTGACACGTCCAGCCGTAGCTCGGCCCTTATGTATGCCAGGGGGCTGCAAAAAGTTCGTGGCGAAAGTTCGTGGCGAATGGAATTGGAAGACGCTGCACCTTTGCCACGGAGGCTCTGAAACCCCCTAGTGCAGGCCGCAGGCTGTTCCCTGGGCTAATGGTGTGGCGCTCTCCTGACCGGGCCATGTGCTCATCGACAGGTGGGCTCTATCTTCCCTTGTTACTGTGGGTGACTGCTTCCTGCCCCCCGCGGGGTGGAGCACATGCGGGTGGGTCCGTGTGAGTCCGCGGGCGAGGTTGTAAAGGCCAGTCGGCTTCTGCCTTCTTTGCCGGAGCCCTCACACTGGTGAGGCCTAGAGGCCACAAGGGCCACTAGGGGGCATTCTAGGCGGCAGCTCCAGGCGGGCACTCATCCCTCCCCAGACAGCAGACACAACTGGCGTTAGACGAGCCCATTCGGCAGCTAAACACCACGGAGGGGCCGCTCTCGACACCACCTGGGTCCACCCCAAAGTCCTGAGCCACAAAGCCCTAAAACCTGTGGCTGTTCATGGGGTTGTTTGGGATACAGCGATAGATCACTGCAACGCAGAGAGAGTATAAAATGCTATGTTTTCCCCTTGAAGAAAATGGTTTTCCTAATTGGTATGTCTCTCGGGGCTGGGATGCTGCCTCCGGGGTCCACAAAGTAGGCCATGCTTTTATTTCACCTCACAGCCCAGGATGTGGGGGTGGGGAGGTAGGGGTGAGGTGTGCGCGCGCGCGCCTGTGTCTGCGCGTGCACAAGAGAAAGGGCTATCGAGCCCATCTCCCACTGTAGTGCAGCTCAGCCCAGGGTTACTGAGTGGCTTGTATGAACCTGCGGATACGGAGAGGGATGGAGCAGTAACTCGGATAACCTCTGCCTGGCTTCTGAAGTGGGGCATTCTCCAGCTGCGTTTGGATTGACAAGAAGGACACGTCTTCAGGATGGAGGGGCCGCAGCAGTCTGTACTCACATTAGCAAGAAGACTAGGTAGTTGGCAAAGGGCGGGATGGAAATGATTCCTATGAAAAGGCACTTGGCGACATCTCGGCGGAACTAAGTAGAAAGAAACACAGGTGCATTTTCAGCCCAGGTAAGTTCATGCCCTCCCCAACCCCTCCGGCCTACTAGGCAGGAAACTTCTAGCACAGCCCACGAAAAGACCAAGGTTATTCCTATCTACTTTATGGTGGGGCGTCCCTGGAGACCAGACCCTCTGATCGTTTGCTTTGCCCTACCCCCCACCCCCATGTTTGGTACTGGGCCTGACATGATCCCGAATCCCTTAGTGATGTCTTCCCGGTAAGCAGGCGGGGTCCACCAAACACTCATTTCCAGCTCCCCTTTCGATCCTTCCAGGTCTTTAATAGGTTTAGAGACAACTTTGACTTTAGTGCTCGCATCTTTTATTTAGAAAGTGTGCCTGTAGGTCTCCGGAGTTTCTCTGTAAGGCTGAGGGCTACAAATGACCCTGACGGTGGCCAGTAACCTGAAGCCTCCTCCAGTCCCCTCCCTCCTTTGATCTCATGGCAAAGGGCCAGAGTTGGATCAGTGGTGACCACAAGAGGGACAACACTCAGGTCTTGGCCTCACCGTGAGCTTTCTGGCTCTCTGGCCCCTAACCCATACCTGTCTCAAATGCTCCATATCCCGGTATGGAAGTTGATGAAACTTCATATTGTGATTCCACATACTGGCCTTTATTCTTCTAGCCTTTTTGGCATCAGCCCATAACATCCGAAATCCTGCCTCATTTAAAGTAGAGCACAAAGTGTGATGTTATCTCAGTTTAAATCGGAACACAGCTTCCTACCCCAGGCTCACCCACCCATAGGCATGCATGCTTGTCCTGCCCCATCCTAGATTTAAAAAGCTTCCAGCTAGGTAATTTGAAGCTCCAGTGCCCAACCCCTCCCTCCTCTCCCTCTCACCCCTCCGGAAGCCCTCTCCCCCAGCCAAGATGGGCTTCTGGGATCTATTTTGGAGTGATTCCTCTTCTGTGATTGATGATCTACTTCTTCTTTTTTTTTAAATCAAGATTCAAAGCTTCCAAGAACCCTTGCTCTATGTAGTCCCTAGCCAGATATCATTAATTCATCTCCTCTCGGGCACACTTTCATAATTACTGAAACTTATCATATTTCTAAGATTATAGTCTTAATCTTCCAACTGTGATAATGCTTACATCCATCTGATGACTTAAATAATACTTCCATTTATAAAAATGCTCTCATATCTGCAAAAGAACTAATGACTAGAGTGACATTTACAAAGTCCACCAGGAGAGCAGAGTGGCTGCCAGGAGTTGGAAATGACGGAAGTGGGTCGGGGTTGGTGGGGTTTATTCGATTCTGTTCTAAACATTGTCCACAATGAAATGTGAAACACCAACCCACCTGCACGCTTCCGGACTCTTTTCTCACACACTCCGAGCTACAAACCCAAGGTGGACGCAGTAGCCCTGAGGGCAGCCAAAGCACATCTTCCAGCTCCCCTTTACCGACAAGGATAAGCAACTTGGGCAAGGCCACGAAGCTAGTCATACTGGTGATCACATTCAGAGTTCACAGAACTTAGTGTTCTAAGTGCAGGGTAGGATACTTACCAAGAACTAACTTGCTGAATTCTTACTATAGACCAGATCCTGTCCTGAGTATTTTACGTGTGTACTTACTTCTTAAGGTTCATCTAATCTGACTTACTTCAACTTTACAAACATGCTGCCAATAATCCATTGCTATCCAGTCAATTCAGACTCAGGGACCCCATAGGACGGGGTAGCACTGCCCCATAGGGCTCCCAAGGCTATACATCTTTATAGACCAGACTACCACATCTTCTAAGCAGTGGCTGGGCTCGAATCTCCAGCCTTTTAGTTACTGGTCAAGCTCTTTAGGCACTGATCACAAGAGCTCCTTAGGTTGTCAGTACCCTCCCAAAAAACACTCACTCCCACGGAGCCGACGACAACTCATTGTGACCCGGAGTAGAGACACTGCCTCACAGGGTTTTGATGGCTGTACATTTTTACTGGAGTAGTCAGCCTCAACTTTCCACACTTAAGTCACGGTGCCACCAGCATTCGTCAGCAGGCAGATTCTACGACTATCCCCCTTTCACAGGAAAAACAGAGACAGTCACTTAACTAGTCCAATCACACAGCCAGTAAGGATAAGCTGGCATTTGAACACAGGCAGTTTGACTCCAGAGTGGACACTCCTCGACACTATACCATCTCCTGGTAACTGGCAGAGGCATTTAGAGACCCAAGTATACCTAGCGCTATTTCCACCACAACATGCTACCCAGGATAGATAGGTGATAAACTTCAGGGGCCAAGTGAGTGGTTCAGAAACGTTAAATGCAAGAATCTATCTCCCAGCCCCCCGGGGTCAGAAGTTGTTTCCCGGCAGCCCTTCCTAGAAACATACTGCTTTAAAGGGATCCTTTTCCCTCGTCTAGCATTTAAGAAACAGAGGCTAGCCTAGCTCTCAGCCCAAAGCAGAACCTGCAAAGGATCGAACTGATTGTAACTCACCAATGCTGCCCGGGAACCAATCAAGGCACATCTGTGTAAGTTTTGTTTTTACCTTTCATGAAGAGTGTATACATGGCATAGAAGCGGGGGAAATTACGACCCAAGAAACGATGGTACTTCTCATTAACCACTTTGGTCTTGGCCATCACATAAGAGAGCAGGCTCTTCACGTCTGCCTTTGGAGAGAGATGAAACCTGGAAGACCTACAAGGAAGATCAAAGACAGTATCTGGGAGCCAGGCCTGGAAGCACCCACAAACCCTGCAGTCCCTAAGAGGTACCACCGGCCTCGGAAGAATGTGCACCAAGACCTGAAACTTCTGAATTCCAAGGAAAGTCTTGGGGGTCAAGGAGAGAGACAAAAATCAAAACGAGGAGGGCAGGCTCAAGCAGAAAACGCCCCCCCGATGAGAGCCAGGCAGGGATAGACGTCAGGTAGTACGAGTCCGGACAGAGTGCAAGGCACCAGGGGCAAACGAAGACCAGAGAGAGAGAGATGGGAGCGAGGTAGCAGCGATAAACCTGGAGTGAAAAAGCCAGGCTTGAAAGTTGAGCTCCGGCCACGCGCACGCTTCAGACCGTGTGGGGCACTGAGAATTGGAAGCTGAGTTACTATCGGGAGCGCGAATCCTGGGCAGCAGGTAAAAATGCCGGGTCCCGGGCGTGCGACCACGGGAATCAAGGCGGGAGCCCAGACAGCATGCAAGCAAGGAGCCACTGGAGGATCCTGGACATCAAAAATGCCTTTTTTCTTTCCGGGTCCCTCACCGAGGGGCCCCCCAGACCAAGCCAAGTCGCAGCCTCCGAGTGACAATAAATCCAGGGGTGACAGCTGAGCCCCGCAGGGCGGCCCGCGCCCACCACACTCTGGAGAGCGCCATCTTAACAGCGGAGGGGGCCACAGGGCTTTAAGTCCAAAGGCACGATCCGTCGCGTCTCTGGGAGGGCGCCTGCGCCTGCCCCGAGCGCTGATTCGTAGCTGGAACCCGCGGGGCTGGAGCCCCGCCCAGAAGTGGGACGGGCTCACCAGTCGCTTGCGAAAGAACGACAACGATTGGACACAGCCTGAACTTCCTGGTTTAAAGGTCCCGGAAGTGGACTCTTCCCCCAGTGGAGCGCGGGTGTTTGCCCGCGGTGAGCTTTGTCAGCCCAAGGACGTCCTCCCCTTGAGGAGCCTAGTGACCCTCCGCGATTCCCCAAGGCGGCGGTCTCCTGGCACCGCCCTCCCTCTGCTTTTTACCCCGGGGGCCGTTCCGCCTTTGCTTCCAGAGGGCGCTCCGCCGAGCGGGGCCGCGGCGCCCCAGGGACGGGGCGGGCGGGCGCGCGGCGCCCCCTCGTGGTGGCTCCCGGACGAGCCCGGGGACTGCCCGCCTCTCGGTTGTCTCTTGGACAGGAGGGCTGGCGGCACTTTTTCCTTCTTCCTTCTGGAAGCCGGTGGGGGTGTGTGTGGCGGGGAGCTTTGTCATTGAAGGCCCATGGAAACTTGGCTTGTGTTTCAGCTTAAAAGACACTACTCAGGTCTTGTGGGACCACCCTCTTTAAAGCAGCGCCTAAGAAGAGGGCATACGTTTGCACTCCCACCTGTCACCCGTGGGCTTTTTCTATAATAGCATTTACATTATCTGCACACTCGTTTCCTTGCTGGACCCACTCCCTGAACTAGACTGTGGGCAAGCACCTTCTCTGCCCCAACACTAGGTCTGGATCCACAGTAAGCTCAGTAAACATTTTAAAATAAATTAATTGGTATTTGACACGGAGAAGAGTTCCCAGAAGTGGTTCCTAACTGTCTTCAAGAATTAACAGTCGGGAATCGATCACAAGGATCAGTCTAGAACCCCAGCCCAGGGGGATGAATATTGGAAAAGTGGGTGAGGGGCGATGGAGGACGAGGTGAGATACGGAAATAATCTACAAGTTATCAAGGGTTCCTGAGGAAGGGAGGGCAGGGGAGGGAGGGGGAAGAAATGGGGAGCTGATATCGGGCACAAGTGGGAAGAGAATGCTTTAAAAATGATCATGGCAGCATATGTGCAAGTGTGCTTGACACACTGGATGAATGTATGGATTGTGATAAGAGATGTAAGAGCCCCCAATAAAAGTGAGGGGAAAAAAAGAATTAACAGTCATTTTTTAACTAAAAAGCTGCCATCCAGTCGATTCTGACTCGTGGCGACAACTTTATAGGTCAGAGCAGAACTGCCCCTGCAGCTTTCTGAGACTGTCGATCTTTATGGGTCTTTTTCTTGGCTGGTGATGACCTGGTGGTTACCAGCCTAATATGTACCTTGCTAGGCCACCAGGTGTCCCAATAGTCATTTTAGGTAAATACATTGAACAGTTATTAAAGAGCATCCCGTTTGGAATGAAGGTCTCGGTTCAAACCTTAGTATTAGCATATCCTGTAGTGTGTGAGATCCTGGGCATGCCACTTGATTTCCTCTATGGTTATACCTAGGAGCTGTGGTGGCATAGTGGTTGCAAGTTTAGCTGCTAATTGCAGAGTCAGCAGTTCAAAACCACCAGCTGCTTCCCTGGAGAGAGAGAAGACTTTATGTTTCCATAAACATGTACAGTGCTGAAAACCCACTGGGGTGGTTCTACCCTGTTGTATAGGGTTGGCATCAACCTCCTGGTTGTAAGTTTTGTAGTTGACGGATGGTAATATCTCAGGAGCCCTGGTGGCCCACTCGGTTAACCAAAAGTCTGCTATCCAGAAGGTTGGAGATTCCAAAGCTTCCAGTCAGAGAAAGACCTTTGTAAAGTTGACAGCCAAGAAAGCCCCACGGGGCATCTACTCTGTTACCTGGAGGTCACTGTGAAGTGAAACTGATTCTGTAGCACTTAACAACAACAATAACAGTGCCTACCCTAGTAGGACTGGTGTAGAACTGCCTCTTTTGGGTTTCTGAGACTGTAACTCTTTACAGGACTACAAAGCCTCAACTTTCTCCTGCGGAGCTGGTGGTTTTGAGCAGTTGATCTCATGGTTAGCATCCCACCATATCACCCCCTTATACCACCAGGGTGCCCTGAGTCAGAAGAGACTTCATGGCAGGGAATCTTAGCAAGATCCAAGAAGAAAATAGTTGTCCAAGTTCTCCCATCTGTCTAATGCTTTGGGCCACAGAGCTTTATGTTAACCAAAGCCAACCCACTGCTGTCCAGTAGACATGTCTCATTCAACTTTTTAGCCCTGAGTAAATACCTCTCACTCAGTTGCACACGGGAAAGATTCTTCAAGTATGTACTTGGAGGGGTAGGTAAATGGGGTGGCAGGGAGAAAAAATTGACTAAGACGTGCTTTCTGTCTTTAGGCAATTTCTACATCCTCTTAACCACCAAAATCAGCTGTAAAAATCTAGAGCATACCTGTAAAAAAAGGAGGCCCATTTCAAGGAGGAAATGGCTAAGAATAGGCTAGAAAGACAGCATTCTGGGCAGTAAAAGAATACATCAGAACACAAGGATTCCTTTCTTACTGAGTTATTTATTTAGAGCCTCTCCCTCAATAAACACACTAAATCTGGTTGGTTATACCTTCTAGCTAGTTAATCTCAAATTCCTTCTGGCTCTGGACATCAAGGCTTCAAAGTGATTTGAACCAATTTAGTCACAGCTCACAAGGAGAAAACTGGAGCAAATGCCAATGTGGTTAAGCGTTGAGCTGCTAACTGCACATTCAGCAGTTCAAAACCACCAGATGTAAAATCTATTTATTGTATTTTAGTTTAAAGTTAAATCCAACAACTCTTTAAAACAAAGAGATTAATCATGTAAATAAAGAAAATATTTTCATCAAATAAACAAATATTTATTTTGAAAACCAAACCAAACCACCAGATGCTCTGTGAGTAGAAAAACAAAAACAAGGCTTTCTACTCCTGTAAAGAATTATAGTCTTGGAAACCCACAGGGACAGTTCTACCCTGTTCTAGAAGGTCACTAATAGTTGGAATCTAGAACGGTAGAGGTTTTTTTTGGGGGGTGGGCAGGCAGGGGGAGGTGATCCGAACTAACTAGAATGGGAAAAATCACTATGGTTGAAGCGCTGAAATGGGAGACTCAGAAGAGGGATAGCAGCCTGCTACAGAACACTGGGTGTTGGCAGATCTGCAGAGTCTGCTGCACATTCAAAGCAGCATGGTCAGCTGCCATCTTTGATCCAAGCACTCCTGTTTTTGATGCAGCCAGTGAAGATATTTGTTTGCTATGCAATGTGCATACTGCCTCCATTTTCTACCCTGATACATGCTGGGTTGCCGGGGACCACAGAGATTCCAGAGCCACCCTACCTGTTGTGCTGGTTCCCCAGTATTGTCACCACAAAAAGGCCACCAGCCATGGCTTTGTTTATTTATTTAGCAGTTTCATTGGCACTTCATCCACATGTCATACAATTAAATAATTTAATCATAGCAAGAAGAGTTGTACAATCACGACCCTAATCAATCCTAGAACATTTTCTTCTTCCTTGTACTCATTGTTATTCATGTATTTTTCCCCTAATTGTGGCAAAAACATACACAATAAAACATTCTCCAATTCCACAACTTCTGCATGTCTAAGTCAGTGTCATTGATTATATCCCTCATGTGGTACAGCCGTCATTGAGATCCTTTTCCAAATTATTCCACCACCGTTAACATAAGCTCAATGCCCCCTTAAGCAGCAACAACTCTTTCTCCTTCAGCCATGGTAACCATTTGTGTTAGGCAGGGTTGACTAGAGAAACAAACCCAGGGACACCCATATATGTGTGAGAAAGAGCTTTAGATCAAGAAAACAAGCCCATAAATCGGGTTCTGGTTCACAAGTCCCTTTTCAGATTCACAGAACCACCTGCAGGGATGCAGAGTGCAGGAAGAGCACAGGCCAGTGTGTGTAAAGTCATATGGATCCAATGTTGGTGGCAGGTCTCTGGCAGCAGTCCAGGTCAGCCAGCAGGAAGGTGAAGGCAGAGAGGGAAGGGGAGGTTCCCAGGGCCTTCCTTATGAGAAGGCCACGCCACACGGAGGAACTACCGGGCAGTGACCTGACTGACCGGTTGAATACCACCCCTACACTGTCATGTATCTGCAAGTTGACATGAAATTATGTACAGTGAACCCTCGTTTATCGCGGTTAATCGGTTCTAGACCCTACCGTGATAAATGAAATTCCTCGAAGTAGGATTCCTTATTTGTAAATCAAATATTTTCATAGTTAGAGCATAGAGGACATGAAAAAACACCCTTTAGTCACCATTACACTCGTATTACCCAATTTATTAAACGAAAAAGGGAAAATACAGTAAAACATTTTGGACGTTACAATGATCATTTATTATTTATTATATTATTTATGGCATCAAGCGTGTACAGTATGAGCCAATCAGTGGCAGTAATGACAGAGCATGCGCTGTTACGCAAAAACCGCGATAGAGTGAAGCCACGGAAGTCGAAGCGCGAAGTGGCGAGGGTTCACTGTAACTACCACACCATTGGTCAAGTTTTTTTGTTTTTCTTTTCAGGGGAGAGCGTGGACGCAGTCCCCCACTACCACAAATTATGCAGTTGAGTTTCCTGTATTTGGGGAAATCGCAGGGGTCAGCATGCCCGCAGTGCAATGGGTGAGCCTCACCCTGAGAAAACCACCTTCCTGATCATGGTATCTCCCCTGTCAGGTAAGTATGGTCAAGTTTTGTTTTTTTTTTGTAGTAGTTTTCTTTGATATCATATATATCTATGTATATATTTAACATCATATGTCATATCACATACCATACACTTCCATGGTTAAATTGTTTTTAAAAAGAGTTGTATATACATCCTCATCATCAGTTATAGTGCTCCATCCCCCCAAGTCCTGGCTTGAAAGAACAGGAATTTCTTGTCTCCAGTTCTATAAGCTGTAGATTCTACCAGGGACTCCACTGTGCCGGGGTCTTCTCGGGAACCAGGAGTTCTTTCTTGTGACTGCTGACTGCTTCCTATCCCTTTGCTGCTTGTGGAGGCAGCTGCCTGTATCGTACCGCTGCAAGCCATGCCCCCTTCTCTCTCTCTTGGAACCTGTCCTCGCTGTGAGGAGGGATTGCGTGTAGAATGTGCTTTGCTCTGGGCGGCCACATTATTAGCATCACCCAAGGGAAGCCCTATTTCCAAACAGAATCCCGTTCACGGATACAGAGGCATGCACATCAACATACATTTTGGGGTGGAACACAATTCGATCCACAACACTAACACTTGTTGACTATTTCTAACGTGGCGTCCTTGTTTCTCTGACTTTTTATGTGTACTCCCAACTCCCAACTCACTGCCACTGCGTCTATTCTACCCGACAGGGCAGGCTAGCACTGCCCTGGACGATTTCCAAGACTGTTTAATTCCTCATGGGAGTAAAAAGCCTCAGCTTTCTCCCAAGGAGCAGCAGGTGATTTTGAATGGCTGATCTTCTGGTTAGCAGCCTAGGGAGTAATCCACGACACCACCAGGGCCCCTCTAAATAAAGAAAGTGAGATTGGGTAACTTGCCAAAGATTTCAGGCAGGATTTGAATTCAGGTAGATTGTTACTAGAACACATAAATTACGGTTGCATCTATATAAACAATACAGCTATAGGAAACTTTTTCTTAACCCCACAGACTGAACTTCTCCTACAATTTACCTTGTAAGTGGCTCTACTTGCCCTTCATAGTGCTTAAACGAGACCATAATTAGTTAGCTGTGTCATTGTACACTTCATGGGGTCTTCCCCTGCTGACTCTAAGCCATGCCTTAGAGCCCTGCTGGCACCAAAGAAGTGCTCATTCAATGCCCGTGAAAGAAGAAGTACTGTGTGTTCCCGAGTATGGTACAGACGCCCAATGGGCTCAGCTGCCGACAGGAAAGTTGGGAGTTCATGTTGACCCAGAAGTGCCTTAGAAGAAAAGCCATGGACCATATAAAAACCATCCACGGGCAACCCTCTGGTTACAATGGAAACGATCGGTTGCACACATATTTAGCACATAAATCAGTAACTCTCAGTGGACAAGAAAAGAACACCGTGGAACACCGCTGGACACACCTGGGTGGCCAGGAGCGTGACATCACTCAACAACTAGTTTTGACTGGAAGCTGAAACTAGCCAGAAAAGACTTCCATCCAGAATTTGGACCACGAGTCGCTGGAGTGTGAGAACATTGAGTTCTGTCTTCAAACCCACTCGCGGGGCTTCTGTTGCCACAGCATGAGGTAGCTGAGGCAGAGGCAGTAAGCGTCTGTCAGGATCGCTGTGTCCTACTTTTAAATCTTCCCGTGCCTGCCTTCTCGTCTACCTCCCCTTCCTCATCCCCGAGCCCTGTGAGCTTCTCCTGTTATTCCAGGGGGATTGGGACACGGAGAAGTCACAGAGAAGCGGAGCCTAAGCTTAGAACCTAGGCCTCCTGACCATCAAATGGCTGGAGCTGTCAGGAGAGTCAAGCCGCCCTCCATCTGTGAGAGGCTTCTGAAAGGGGTGGTGACACGCACCGGAGACGCAGTATTTCAAAATTACATGAAGTAGCCTTTAATATCTAGAGTCATCATTGCAGTTTTAATCATCCTCAAAACCCTTTTTCAAGTGCCTATTTACAAAGGGCCATTATGGGCGACACTGAACTCAATTTACAATGTATTGTCCAGGAACATGGTTTCAGGATTTACAGCCTATGGAAATTACTATAAGCAGATAAGCAAAGAACATAGCCATATGACAATAAAAACCGGAGAGCAATCTAGAACTACTGCAGACAGTAAAGGATTAACATCAAGCACGACAGAAGCTGATGCCGGTCAAGGATAAGGACATCACAGGGTGGCAGAGCCGTGCCCAAGGGGACTGGTTCACAGAGGGTCTCAATTCCAGGAAACCATCCTCTGATCCCTTAGGGAGGGTGCGTCTCTTGCCTTCTGACTCGCCTACCTCCTTGCACCCTCCACGTTTTCCCTCTCTCAGGCAACAGCACCCCTTGCCAGTGTTGAGATCTGAGCGAGTTTTACTTGGCGCTAGCTCTTGCCTCTGAGTAAGGGGACCTTTACCCAGCCACCGCTGCCGCCGCAGGAACCACCCTCAGAAGCCACGCTGTGCTGCCTGGCACGTCCACAGCAATTAGAGCTAAAGGACAGAGTTAAGGAGAGTCCTGGATGGAAGTTCTCCCCGCCCAGTCAGAGCAGGGTCACCCAGGGTCCCTGCCCAACACTCACCCTGGAGCCTGGCCAGGGTTCTGCCAGCACTGTCCCACAGGGAAAGGGATGGCCCGGCCTCAGCCTCTCAGTGGAAGCCAATTTGCATATGCAGCTGAATTCATAACTGTCTCTCTTTGCTGAACCAATATTTGAAAGACCTCAAGGGCTTCTCAGTTCAATACTGCTGTCAGAACAACTGCTGTTGTCGTTGTCAGACAGGAAGATAAAGGGTTAAGGCATTCTTCACATAAACATACCAGTAGATAGACCAGTGTGAGCCCCAGCACCGGTTCTTACCGGCCCTGGCTCAGAGTCTTTGCAGGGTAGGTTCCCCTGCCTGGAAGGTCGATCCCCAGTGATGTGCTCCTTTGCTTCAGTCGGCTTTCTAATTCAAAGTCACTGGCGGGCCGTCTTTCCGAACTGTCCACTGGACTTGGTCCCCTACTCCTTGCCCAGCTTTATTTCTTTTACCAAATGGCCAGAGGTTCAAAGCCACCATTCGCTCTGAAGGAGAGACTGGGCTTTTTACTCCTGGATACAGTTACCGTCTCCAAACCTGCGGCGGCGGAGTGGCTGTGAGTCAGCACTGACAACTCAGGGGCAGTGTGAGGTTGGTTTTTTGGTTGGTTTAAGGCAGCGGTTCTCAACCTGTGGGTCGCGACCCCTTTGGGAGCCAAATGACCCTTTCACAGGGGTCGCCTGGTTCATAACAGTAGCAAAATGACAGTTATAAAGTAGCAACAGAAATAATGTTATGGTTGGGGGGGAGATCACCACCACATGAGGAACTGTATTAAAGGGTTGCATTAGGAAGGTTGGAAATCACTGATTTAAGGTTTTGTGTCAATTTGACTGGGCCATAATTCTCAGTGAGTTGGCAGTTGTGGTTGTTAAACACACACACACAGCCAAAAAAACAAACCCCTCAAACTCACTGCCGTCCAGTTGATTAAAGCTCCTAGTGACTCTGTAGGACAGAGTAGAACGGCCCCTGTGGGTTTCCAAGGCTGTAAATATTTACAGGCGAAGAAAGCCTCATCCTGCCCCCTCCGAGTGGCTGGTGGTTTTAGAATGCCCGGTTTTCTGGTCAGCCGTCCCAGGCCTCATCCTGGGTCATGCAGGACAGAACGCACCACTGTGCAGGCCTGGGCCATCCTCACAATCCCTGCTCCCGTCACTGTGTCACCCCATCTCCTGGGCGGCCTTCCTCGTTTTCACTGCCCTTCGACTTTACCCATAGGAGCCCTGGTGGTGTAGTGGTTACACACGGGGCTGCTAACCTCAAGGTCAGCAGTTCAAAACCACCACTCAGAAGCCCCAAGCCACTTTCTACTCCTGCCAAGAGGTCCGGTCTCAGAAACCCACAGAGGCAGTTCTGCGCTGTCCTGCAGGGTTGCTCTGAGCCAGCGTCGATGGTGGCGAGTCCGATGTCCTTTTCCAGGGGACTGGTCTCTTGGAAACCCAAGGGCGATTTGACTCTATTCTGCAGGGTTGCTATGAGTCAGAATTGACTCGATGGCAGTGAGTTCGACTGAGGGCTCTCCCGACAGCATGTCCGAAGTACCTGAGACCTAGTCTCGCCGTCCTCCCAAGGAGCTTTCTGGTTGTACTTCTTCCAAAACAGCTTGTTCTTCGGGCCGTCCATGGTTCTTTCAGTATTCTCTGCCAACATCATAATTAAATGCATCAATGCATTTTTCGCTTTCCTTATTCATTGTTCAACGTTCACACTCAAATAGACGATTGAGAACCCCATGGCTCGGGTCAAGCGCAGCTTCGTCTTCAAAGTGACCCCCTTGCTCTTCGAGTCCACGAGCGGTCTTGTGCGGCAGGTTTGCCCAGTGCAATACATCCTGGGGTGTTTTGGCTGCTGCTTCCACGAGCACTGTCTGGGGACCCAAAGAAAAGGACCCCTTGACAATTCCATCTTTTCTCGATTTATCATGGCACTGTCTATTGATCCAGTCGTGAAGATTTTGGTTTTATTTTTTTCTTTCATGAATCATTATATTGGAGGCTCTTACAGCTCTTATAACAATCCAGACCTCAATTGTATAAAGCACATTTGTACCTAGGTTGCCATCATCATTTTTAAAACATTTTCCTTCTACTTGAGGCCCTGGTTTCAGGTCCTCTTTTTTCCCTCCCCCGCCCTCACCCTCATGAACCCTTGATAAATTATAATTTAT